ATAGTAATAATTGTTTTGATTCATTTTTAAATTGTTCTAATGTAGTCTTGTTTTTGTTGACAATCTATGGGAATTTTTTCCACAGATAAGGTCCGCGATATTTAATTGAATAGAAGGTTAATTTTAAATTATACTTGAGAAGAACAAAGTTGTTATCAGAAAACTTTGTTGAATATTTATGATTAATTTTATTAAAATAGGTTTGAAAAATTATTAGGGACAATCCCATTTTTGTTTTAAACATAAACAATAAAACTTGGTGTAAATTGAGTTTATACACATTTAAAGTACCGAGTGCACGTAAAAGTGGTTCGCAAGGAGTATTTCGTCAGGGTTATTAATCCTCCATTGATACACGCAGATAAACGTTATATAACACGTGATAAACGTTATTAATCCTCCATTGATACATGCAGAAACCAGCGACCACTAGTGGCAGATTAATCATATTTATAATCATTTAGAGAAATATGGTGGTGAAAACGAAGTTGCTAAAGTGTCAATGATTTTAAACATTTTGAAAGGGGTTCAGTACGATACCTTTAATGGCAACGCCTCCCATAAAGTTCTTAAAAGTGTATTGGCAATGTACATGCGTGCATTGCCAATTAACTTAAAACCATTGGCAGAAAGGCTTCGAAATTTAAACAAAATGGTTAAGTCTTGTTTTGAACAAAAACTTTATCAAGATATTCAAACACATATTAAAAACTATGAAAATCACTACAGAACACTGGTTGAAGATTATGGAGCAACTGTTTCATTGAAAATTCATTTTATTTCAAAACATATAAGTGCTTTTTGTGCAGTAAAAGGGCTTGGATTAGGCTGCTACTCTGAACAAGCTGTTGAAGCAACTAATTACAGCTTTGTTAATGAATATTGGAAGCGATTCAAAGTTTCCAAAAGTAACAGCTCCTTTTCTGAACATTTAAAAAAAACTGTTATCAGTTTTAACTGAAAAAACCTTGTAAATATTACAAATGCTCCTGAAAATATATTTATGTTTTAACTTTATCTAATTATAACTTTTTTTATGCTAATATCACAAAAGTTAAGTCCATTAATAAACAGAATCTTAATAATATAAACATTAGTTAATGTGGTTGTATATATATGTAATGTGCATGGGTTTGTATTTTGCAAACGACATATTTGTGACAGTCATATCGAAACGATATATTCTATTTTTGACTTATTTTCACACATAATTTTTGAACAATTAATATATTTGTTACATAATTTAATTAAAAAAAAAAAAAATTCCACGAATTTTGAAAAACTAGTTGGATGTATGACAATGGCTGGGACTCAGATTGCAAAACTAAAAAGTAAGTTGGAGGCACGTGTGGCTAGAACCGGCGTCGAGCCTCGGATCTCTGGGTTCTCAGCCAGATCTCTAACCACTGCTCCACGGCTACAAATGATCATTAACGATACTTGTAATGATGATGATTAGTTTATAATGATACTTGTAATGAGGATGGTTAGTTTATAATGATGCTTGTCAGGATGATGATCAATAATACATTTGCAAATATTCATACATTATTAAAATGACGTTATTAAAATTAATAACTTTTTATTTTTTCTATATATTTGCTTTTTTATTCTATATATTATATTGGCTTACAGATAAATAGGTTAATTGAAAAAATATTTTTAGATAAAATTATCAACACTTTTCAAAAAAAAAAATTCACTTGGATAAAATTAATTTTGCTTGTTTTTTATCCAAAGTGCTAACTTATGCCAAGATTATATAGGCATGGGTATATCTCACGGATATATAAAAAGTGTGCATGCTCCGCCTATTTTGGGGAAAGTTGATAGCAAACTGTTTTTTTTTAATAATGTTCTTACAATGTTTTTATAAGGTTCTGGAACATAGTTAACAAACTCATATTCTTTTGAACTGCAGTTTGATACTCTTAATTATAAAAGTGGCATAGAGACGATAGTAAACTCGATAGCCATTTAAAGAGTGTTTGTAAAGAGTATTTGTAGTTTACTTATAGAAAAAAGTTTGAAATTTAAATAAGATGCTGAGAGCCAAAAATGATGGTTTCCACCCGCTTATTTTCATGATTGGTTATAATTAAGAACTACTTATTCCTTTAAGACTGTATATAAACGTCGGTTAAAAATTAATGGCAATTGGTTTATTTTACATTTGAAAGTAAAAAAATAGATATTATAATGCAAAAAACCAACAACTTTTTATAAATCGTATTTGCAATTTAATGGAACTAAAGTAACTTCTTTCTATTAACATCAATTTCTAATTGAGGATATTTGTTTGGCTAATTAATTATAAAAATTTAGAAGCAAATATTTGTAATATTTAAATATAAAATCACAATAAAAAAAAGAAAAAAATTTTAAATGTATTTATTTTTGTAGTAAAAAAATCTTGGCCGCCTAATTAAACAAAAGTTATGCTGGCCACATTATACAGATATCCACATATCCAGCCAAACAACTTACCATATATCCGGATGATCCGATTAAGCTGTTTGTGTTAAGGATATTCTCTAAAAGAGGATAAATTGCATTTTTATCAAGTAGAAAAGGTGGCAATTATATCTTTTAGTAATAAAAATTTGGTATAGCATTGAAAAGTTTTCTTTAATATAATAGTTATTTTGCAAATCGACTTTCTTGACAGTACTGATGGCACAACTTCAAGACTTTGAGTCACAATAGTTTCATTTTAGACTTAAAAAAATGTTGTTTTGATCCCTTATTCCTTTTTGTTCGCATTTTTATAGACAAAGGAGATTACAATATCAAGCTTTTGTTCGCATTTTTATAGACAAAGGAGATTACAATATCAAGCTTTTGTTCGCATTTTTATAGACAAAGGAGATTACAATATCAAGCTTATTGTAAATTTTTTTGATGGTTATGAAAATACTACTTCAGATTTATACTAAAATAGTGGTGTACAGTGGTGTAAAGTACGTATGAGTGGTGTACAGCGCTCTCAATTTTTTTCATAGTTGACGATGTGCAAAAATCAAAATTCAATTTAATATCGTTTTGGAAAAACTCAATTTAAAAGATATTAAGTTTTCAGCGGCTTTGATATGAAGTGTGCTCAGTGGAGTAGGAAGGTTTTTAAATGTTTTAAATAACCAACTATAAACAACAAGAATATTCCAAATTTTTTTACGTTCATATCCCTACCGGCACATCTAGTTTATTTTTCGGAAATAAAACCTATATAGGCACGTGTTTTTCACGATCCAGGCGTAAACCAAAAGTACGTATATATTACGGGCAGTTTTACTAGAGTTTAATACGTGTTTTTTGAGGTTTTAAAGTCAAATTTAAATATCGCATGTTTTTATCAGTGGTTTCACATTCGTTACGGAAAGTTATTACAATATAATGCTACGTTTTCATAACGATGAAACCATCAATACTTTAGCTGGTATTTATGGTAAATAGTAATAGTTAATTTCACGGAATAAAAACCATTTATGATACGTGTTATTCTTTTTGTTTTAGAAGGTTTTAAAAACGCAACAGAAACCAATCGTAACTATTTTCTGAGTTGTGCCGGCTGGGATGTATGACGAAAAGATTCTTTAAAAAAAACAATTACTGTGATAGGAGAAAATATGACCATATAAAGTTTAAACCCCCTCAATTTTTAGAGGGGTTTAATTTTTGAACACTAAAATATTTTACTATGAAATTTAAAATTTATCGATGAATATAAGTCTAGTTGAAAATAGTACAAAAAATATTTCATCAACTTGTTGCTCTCACGTTTGGGTCAGGAGGGGGGCTAAGATTTTAGGGTTTCTTGTTCCCATTCTCTTATAATCACAGTAATTTTTTTTAAAGAATCTTTTTGTCATACAAATGAACGTAAAAAAATTTGGAATATTCTTTTTGTCTATAAGTTTGTTTTTTCAAACATTTAAAACCTTCCTATATAAAATTTTGTGTATCAGTGTGCTAATGCAATTTTTGAAATTTCAACCACCAAACAGATAAAAAAAACTTGCTTTTGGAGTGAAAGAGGCTCAAGTTATATAAATATTTATTTATGGATCTTTTGGCAGAATTTGACTAAGCAATTAGTCGAAGAAAAAGCATACAAGTTGGAAAAGACATAAATGCGTTACATGAAATTTTTTGTTGAATAACGCAATTGTGGCTCATCAAAATTTGCTTAGTGAGCAACGGAGAGAATCAATTTATTCTAAATTCAAACCAACATGCAACAAGCAGTGATGGAGTAAGAATTTTTTTGGGAGATGTTGACACCGAAGCTAAATAAAGTAAAAAAAAAGAAGCTCATTAAATTAACAAAAAGTTTTCTAAGTTTGAAATTTTTTTTTGAAATGAGGGATGAAGGGTGAGGAACGAAGGAGGAGAGGATGCAACCACTCCTCCTCCTTGGATCCGTCACTGGGAACAACTTTAAAAGACTAATGTGATTTTATCTGAAGTGTTAATAATGCTTAGTCGGACTATGTTTCATATGTTGGTTATAAACATGTTTTATACATTTTTATGTTTTTTATTTTGTTCTATTCATTTAAATACGATAGAGAAATAAAAAAGTAAAAAGTTTATATTATTTTTTAATAGATCTTGGGGGGCCCTATCTTGGGGCCCTATACCATCACTAATGAACTTTTAAACGTGTTTTAGTATAACATTATCTTTCCAAATCTAACTTTCAATAAATGATTAAGGAAGTGAAAAACAAATAAGAAATAACAAAAATTTTTTAAATGGGTATGTAGCCCTTAATCTAACATTTTGCCCCATTAAATTTCAAGACAATCTTTTTTTATTATTTTAAAACAAATACTTCAAATAAACAAAAAATTTCGTTTGATTGCGCAAAATTTGGCAAACTCTTTGGTCCACTGTGGGACAGAAACCATTATTATCCTCACCAGTCCCTACATAATTGCTTCATTTTATCATTTCAGTTTCAGATCAGTATCAAATCACTGTAGTAAACAACAAACCCATTGAACTCAATAGTTTTATAGGTTAATAAAAGTAATATACACAAATATAATCTTGATAAATACTAAATAAATACATCACATAAAAATACTTTCGTTAAAGTTACAATTCAAATCAAAGTACAAAAAACAATTTAAAAAAATCAGTATAAAAATTCGTCATAAAGATAATATTTATAAAATCTTACGGAATATTTAAAATTTTATAACTATTTTATGAACTCATTATCTGTATAATGAGCTGGAAAATTTAAAATTATACGAGTTAATTTCATACAACAAATGAATCCTTCAAAATCTCTTGTTGCGGAAAGTTTTGCATTTCCTGGTCAAACACTCGAGTATTTTTAGTTTTAAAGCTGATCTAAAAAAATTGGTATTAAACATATTATTAAAAAAAGTAACCGATTTTTAAATAATGATTACTGCATTTTCGTTTATACATAATAATAATATTATATATTATAATTAGCTGCTTGTAATAATTTCTAAATTTTAGTATATACACAATGATAATAACTATTTCTAAATTTTAGTATATACACAATGATAATAACTATTTCTAAATTTTAGTATATACACAATGATAATAACTATTTCTAAATTTTAGTATATTCACAATGATAATAACTATTTCTAAATTTTAGTATATACACAATGATAATAACTATTTCTAAATTTTAGTATATACACAATGATAATAACTATTTCTAAATTTTAGTATATACACAATGATAATAACTATTTCTAAATTTTAGTATATACACAATGATAATAACTATTTCTAAATTTTAGTATATACACAATGATAATAACTATTTCTAAATTTTAGTATATACACAATGATAATAACTATTTCTAAATTTTAGTATATACACAATGATAATAACTATTTCTAAATTTTAGTATATACACAATGATAATAACTAGAAAGAGCTTAAAATAAATAATACAAAACTTAATGTAAATTTTTTTACATTAAGTTTTGTATTATTTATTTTAAGAAAAACAGGAAGTTTTTTTATTTAACAGAAAGTTATGATCATTTTAGTAATATATATATATATTAGATTACGCAGGATTTTAAAGAAAATTGCGACAAACATTGAAATTTTAGTTTCAGAATGGTACTTTGCAGTTGTTTTTAATTAAGTCATCAAAATGAAAAAGAGATTCTTTCACTGCGTGTAAAAACAAAGACATGAGATTGTTTATTTTTTTTTAATTTAGAAAATGGATATAGAGAATTAAATATATTTAATGCTTTATTTATATATAATTCAATATATCTTCGATGCTAATGTTGAGTTTCCAATCACCCTTTTTTTTACGGGAACAAAGTTTTGGATGCCAATAAAGTGAATAAAAACATTAATAAGTACAACAAAAAATAAAGTAAATAAAAATGTTAATAACTAGAACAAAAAACAAACTCAACATAATAAACTTAAACTGTTCTACTTTCAAAACAAAATTTTAAAAATATTATAAAAAGTTTATATGAAATTTCTAAAAAAGAACACAATAAATCAGAGCTGATGACACGGGTTTTAAAGTGGGGAGGGGGGCACAGTCGTCAATTTTTTAAAAAAGTTCTCTATATATCTAGAATTTCCTTTAAAAAAAAAAAAGGTTTTTTAAAAAAAATTAGGGGGCACGTGCCCCCGTCCCCCCTTGTCGGCTCTGGAACAAATATATCTTAAAAAAAAAACGCTTTGAAAACTTTACAGAACAAACACTTTGCAAAACGTGTCGCAGATTTGAACTTTAAAATCGATACAGTAATAGCCAGATACGCAAAAATTATAATAAAATCTCAAAAGATTAACACATTGTTTCGCGTGTGAGACAATTAGCGCTGTGTGCCAATGAGACCACCAGGTTTTATGGCGTCACTCAAATGAAACGTTTTTTGTTCAAAAGTGTTTGCCTTATAAAAACAGAAAAGAGCTTTTTGAAAATGCTAACAAATTGCTAAGAGTCAAAAATGGTGCAAAATAGTAAAATTTAGGGGGTCTTTACCTTTTTAAGCATTTTAAATAGACGTTACAAAAAAAACTTTTTTATTCAAAAGAATTTGCTCAATAAAAATAGAAAAAAGCGCTTATAAAATCTTAACAAAAATCCAAAGGGTTTGTAGGAACAGTAGGGACTTTATACCCTTTTCCCTGTTTATGACTCTAAGCAATTTGTTTGTTTGGATTTAAAAAAAAAAGAAGCTCTTTTCTCTTGTTAAAAGACAATTACTCCTGAATAAAAACGTACATGATACGACATAAGACCTGGCGGTCTCTTTTGCCCTCAGTGTCAAAGCATCAAATGATTATATTCTATATAATCAAATGATTAAAATGTCTATATTCTATAGCATCAAATGATTAAAATGTCTATATAATATTTAATTTAAATATTATATAGACATTTTCTTTATTTGAATTAAATATTAAAATCATATACTTATGTACATACTCAGATTCTTTCGTATGCAGATTATTCGTAAATCGATGTAATACCCGGAGAGAAATCGGCTAGCTAATAGCTAGCTATAATCGTAACGATAAAGACAGCAATTTGGCCACTAGATCGCTAGCTTTTTTAAGTTAGCGAAAAGTATCGATATTTGTAAAGATAAAGACAGCGATTCGGCTACGAGGACAGCTAGCTTAATAAGCTAAAAACCCACTGACTATTGTAGCTAGCATTATATCGCAATAAAATCTCTGTCAAAAAATTGATATGCAACTATCGACAAGCTATAAAATTTGTAGATATTTTGTAGCTAGCTACAAAGCTACGATATGTAGTTAGCGACAAATTGCTACAAAATCGCAATGTTTAAAGTTTAATTATTCTTATAATTATAATAAACTCAATACCAAAAATCGAATTTTTAAAGATGTTAAAGACATTAAGAAAAAATAACAAAAGAAAAAAAAAATCGCTTGAAAATCGCTATAAAGCTAGCTAGTCGCTCGCTAGTCGCTAGCACTTTTCCCACAGGGTAGTACCGGGTATACCCGGTACTACCCGGTATACCCGGGTATACACCGGGTATACCGGGATATAAAACAAATAACACACACAAAAACTAATTTAAATTACTTTTTCGTTACTTGTGACTTTTAAAATAGTTTTTTTAAGATATAATAAATAAAAACTACTAATAACAAAAACATAATAACAAATAAAGTAAAAAATAAAAAATAGTAAAGTACTCTAAATATATTTGATTTGACTTACCGCGCGATTTTTGGAGTCTTTGTATTTGTACACAATCTTTCTGAAGCAGAGTCCAGTACATAAACCTTCAAATAATACTGAATTAGCAACGAAAATTAAGTAGTTATTTATTATCACAAGTGGCATAACTAAAATAAGAGTTACAAGAAATGTGTAATAATAACTTGCACCAGTTGTTTTATCTTGTTCGCTGCAGCTATTTGTGCCAATCGTTTCTCCATCGTGATAAGTATACGAGCACGATTTAAACCAGATTAATGCTTTGCCAATATAAGTAATTATTATAATAGAAAATACTGCCACAACAAAATTCAACACCAAGGAAGCATATATCTAATAAAAACGTTTACATATAACAACAATAAAATTTAAAAACATATACCAACGAGCTGCAATATGAACCTGATTACAAGAGGTTTTTCTGAGAGGTCTTCCACAAATTACGTCATACGGAGTGGGGAAGAGGGGTTTGTAATTTTGTGACGATTGGTTATAGAGGAGAGTGAATTGGAAGAAACATTTTGATTTTGTTACGCAAGTATTTTTTTTTTTTTTAGTTTTAAAGCGAGAAAAACCATCATTTTAATTAAAAGAGTGCTTCTTATAAAACGTGAACTCTCAGTTGATGGATGTACATTCGAGAGTTGATGGATGTACATTCGACAGTTGATGGATGTACATTCGACTGCGGCCATTTCAATTTAACTTAAAGTTAAATTGAATTTTAAAGTTTACTTTAATATTAGCAGAGACATCACTGCGTCTACGGCTTTATCGCTCAATGATTTCGTTAATCATCAATAGAAAAATAACTATTAGTAGTATAAATACTAAAAATATATACTATTATTAAATAGCAGTAACAGTTAATAAACTTAAAAAATTATATTGTTAATAAACTTCATTGCGCCTTTCCCTATTTAAGTCAGTCGATGTAAGTAAACTTCACTTCCCCTACCAGTCAGTCACTTATTCTGTGAAACTTTAAAAAATAAAAACCATAAATAAATAAATAAGTATAATTATTATTAAACAATTGCAATAGTCAAAAGAAATAAAAGTATTTCAAAATAAAACATCAAAAATTCAAAAGAAACACTTTCTCAGAAAATGTGCTAATGCTACCTGGGCCTCAAAATTTTAACAACTTTATTTAAACGCCGACAAAACCTTACAACTTTATATAAACGCCAACAAAACCTAACAACTTTATATAAATGCCATTATATTATAAAAGTAAAAAAAATTAAAGATTTAAATATTTTTCGCGTACAAAGAATATTTTTACTGCTGGTTGTTTTTTTGTATGTGCGTGCATTTTAGGAAGGAGACTCAGTAAAACGTAACGATTTGTAATAATAAATCGTTCTGTTTCACTGAGCCTCCAAAGGTAAGTGTGGAGAGGGCCTAAACTGTCCTAAAAATTCCGTGACGTGATTTATAGACGACCCTTTGCAACATATTTGATTGATCGCTTTTGTCAAGTTAATTTTTACTTTGGCTTTTAATTTTTACAATTTATTTTTACTTTTTGTTTCCTTTGTTTTTACTTCAAGCATTTTAACTAGACATCTAGGAGAGCAGTGTTTTACGTAATTTTTAGTATATTTATATTTTACGACTAAGATTTTAGTATATAAATATTTTACGACTAAGATTCTTATTCTATTCAGTATAAAGATTTTGCATAATAAAAATAATAAAGCAAATTAAAGAGCGTTTTTTTTTTTTTGATAGTTAAAATATTATTATTATTTTTTTAGTTATTTTCGATAGTTAAATTATTAACTTTTCGATAGTTAATAATTCAACTATCGAAATATTTTTTGAATATCAATGATTTTGTAATTGTAAATAAAGATGATAAAGAACTTTTTTATTCAAACTAACATCTGATCTACATCAAACTAATATCTGATCTACATCAAGCTAACATCTGATCTACATCAAACTTAGTTATACATCTAATCTACATCAAACATAGTTAGATTTGTACCTTTATCCATATAGAATAAGTATGTTGAAAAAACTCAATTTTGGAAAAATGGACTTCGCTTCCTATTTTAGAAAAACGCTTTTCAATTTGGAAAAAAAAAACTTTGTTGGCACTCAAGAACAATGTAGCCTCCATGGGAATATGATAAAGTAAAAATAATATATTAATGCAAATAAGATGCTCTTTTAAAATTATAAAAAAATTTTCTCCAGTTATTATACTTATTTATATAGACAGGTAGCAAAAAGTTTAAAATTTCGAATAAAACATACCTCAAGTGGTACCTGTGACAAACTAAAGGTAAAAATTTTTTATTTCAATCCTAAATGTTAGAATTTATTAATACTTGATTAAGATACGGTCTTATAATTTGATTAAAATATTTATAATTTTCTAGAGGGAATCTTTCTTATTTTGTCTGCCAATTAATGTATATGTCTAGGTACTCGGGTGAAAGCGTCCACAGTTGCGGCATTATTATTTATTGAATGGAACTTTTCATAAATATCGGAGACATATATATAATAATAAATAACGGATAAAATAAATATATATAATAATATAAAATATTGGAGATATATATATAATAATATAAATAACGGAGACTATTATGAATTTTTTAAAGCTAGGCTGTACTTATAACAAAGTAAGCGTTTAAGCTAAAATCTTATTCAGAGAGACTTTTTTGTTTGATTTTAATCTTTTTTTGTTAACTTAATTTTTTATTGTTTTTAGAATAGTTGTATATGTATTTTAAATACTCTGTATATATTTTACATATAATTTCAAACTAACAATATAACAATTCATGGCCATAGATAACTTTATTGAGGGGGGGGGGGAGCTATGAAGAATAGGGGCGCAAGCAACCTGTCTCTTAACAACGAAACCTGTCAAGATTCTGTAGTAATACAGAGAGCAATATAGCATGTTTCTATGGGTTCCACAAATTTACTTTTAAGTTATAAATATCCTGTATTCGTTGTACTGCTCACACTTTAATTCGTTTAAAGTAAAAAAGATTAAAAAAACTTTAAACATGCGGAGATTCAAACGTTTATATAAGAGATCTGTGTATCTATGGATACGTTGTATGATGCCGTACTTACGTTCTACATGGGATTCGTATCGCTGAAATATCATAATACGATAACATAAGTTGAATAGTATTTAGAACGTTTTTATTTCTTCTAACTTAGTTACTTAACGGATTGGTAGTACTAATTCATTTTTATTTCACGATATTTCTCGTAATTTACATATGGTTTTTGTAAAACTTTACTATTTAAAAATACTTTTTAAAATATGGACTTCAAATACAATATTTTTAAATGCGTACGTGATGCGGAAAGTTAAAGAAAAGAAGAAACGGTAAACAAAGCGGTAGATGATCAAAAATCATTCTGAGAATCAAAAACCTATTCCGACGTTTGAAGTTTTGTGTAAATTGATGACCGGAATATTCCAAAATAAGTATTTGCCTTGATTTTTAAACACTTTTAATTGTTTACAATTTATTTATACAAATTATTATCATATATACAAATTATTATCATACAAAATAAGAGTTGATATTAGAAAAAAGTTGTTTGCAGAAGTTAAACGACGTCTAAAGGGAGAAAACCTTGCAGTGAGGTATGACAAAATTATTCGTTTAAAAAACGCGGTAAAATACTCAATCAAAGTTCCAAAGTAAAAGTAATGCATTTTTTATTTATTTAACTTTCCATTTTTTTTTTAAATTTTTTTTCCTGTCTTTTTAAATGGCGGAAACAATTAATTATAATTTTTGTAATACATTTTCTGGTGAAAACGTATGTCACTTTTCAAAGAACATTGATCCTGACGTAAACATTCTTGACAATTATTCCTTAGAAACTAACTATTTTAAAGTTCATGAGGTTACAAGTATTTTAAATAAATCACTACATTACATGTCATTACTAAATATAAATATTAGAAGCATGAGCAAAAACTTTGAAAATCTAAAATTACTGCTAAATAATATAAGTTTTAAATTCAGTATAATCTGTCTTACAGAAACCTGGTGTCAGAGTGAAGATATGCGTAACTCTAATTTGCATTTATTCTGTTCACCACCGAGAAAAAACGGTATTGGCGGGGGCGTATGCATATTTATTCACAACTCGTTGACGTATAAAAAAGTAGATAGTCTAAGTGTGAGTAACTCGAATTGCGAATCATTAACTATAGAGATAATAAACCAAAAAGAAAAAAATCCGTTTATAACAGTTTTATATCAACCACCCAATGGCAGTTACAATCAATTTGAAAATGACTTAAGGCGAATATTAATTCCAACCTCTAAAAAACATCTATATTTACTCGGAGACTTTAATTTAAACTTAATAAATTTAAACACTGTTAACCACGTAAAAAGTTTTATAAATACTCTTTCTCAATTTAGTGCTTACCCCATGATTAACAAGCCGACGCGTGTAACTCGAAAAATATCATCTATTATTGACAATATTATCACTAATAATTATAGTAACTCGACAATCAACAGTGGTATAATAAAAACGGATATTAGTGACCATTTTCCTGTTTTTTTTAACAATAAATACTAAATGCTGTATAAATAAAAAACCCATAACAGTATACATAAGGCATGTAAACAAAGACTCGATTACAATTTTTAGACAGATTTTGCGTGAAATCAATTGGGAGCTTTTAAATGGTTGCAATGACACATGTAGCGCATACAATTTCTTTATCCGCGTCTTTACAAGGCGATATGATCAAACTTTTCCTAAAGTTCGAAAAAATATAAAATCCAAAAGTTTGCATACCCCGTGGATGACTAAAGGTCTTTTAATATCACAAAAAAAAAAAGCTTTAAGAAAAATTTTTAAAAAACAAAAATTATGAAAGCGAAACTAAATATAAAAAATACAAAAACTATTTCAAAAAAATAAAAAAGCAATCTAAAAAAACTTCTATTCTGGTCTACTTCAGAAATCATTTGGAAATGCTAAAAAAACTTGGACTATTATAAAAGATATAACAGGGAAAACAAAAATTACATCTGGCAACCTCCCTAATCGACTGAAAACCGATAAAGGTGAAATTTTTAATAAAAAAACAATTGCTGAGACTGAATAATTTTTTTATAAATGTTGGGAAAAATTTAGCCAAAGAAATCTCTCCAAGTAGCAAAACATTCCAGTCTTTTTTGAAAAAATCAGATTTTATTATGGACAATTCGGAACTATCCATTGATGAACTTCGTTCAGCTTTTGACATGCTTCAGACAAATAAAAGTGCAGGTCTTGATGAAATTAATGCAAATGTTTTGAAAAGTGTCTTTGACATTATCGAATTGCCTCTTTTCATTATTTTTAAACTTTCATTACAAAACGGGGACTTTCCTGATCAATTAAAACTTGCTAAGATAATTATAAAAACGGCGGCAATTCTTATGAATAATAGAATATATAACTTCATTGATAAAAACAATATTTTATATCCTAAACAGTTTGGATTTCGGAGAAATCATTGCACTGAGCATGCTGTGATGGATTTAACTAGCAATATTTTGAAAAGATTTGATGACAATAATTATGCACTTGGAGTTTTTGTTAATTTATCGAAGACATTCGACACTGTCGACCACGAAATCCTTCTCTATAAATTAAAAAATTATGGAATTCAAAATACTAATCTAAAATGGATCAAGTCTTATCTACAAAATCGTAAACAATGTGTGACGTACGATTTAACTTGTACGCAGTTAGAAGTTATTTGTTGCGGTGTCCCTCAAGGCTCAATACTCTGCTGTTTCTTTTATATATCAATGACATCCACTTATCTTCTAAATTCCTTAATTTTGTTCTTTTTGCTGATGATACTAATTTTTTTTTTCGGGGTCTAATTTAAAATTTGTTTTTTCTACTGTTAACACAGAGCTAATTAATCTCAATGAATGGTTTAAAGCCGATAAACTGTCCGTAAACATTGATAAAACTAAATACATTCTGTTCACGAAACCTTCGAAAACTGATAACATACCCCTAAAACTTCCTGATTTATTTATAAACAACATTAAAGTAGTTCATTCAATGAAAATCCTAGGTATAACATTTGACGATCATTTAAACTGGAAAAATCAAATCCAATTAGTGGAAAACACCATTTCAAAAGCTCTTGGGATCCTTTTCAAAACAAAGCACCTTTTGAATATAATGTGCTTAAAAAGCTTGTATTTTTCATTTATTCATAATCACATTAGTTATTGCAATATAGTGTGGGCAAGTAATTATTCATCTTCTTTAAAAAAAATTAATATCAAACAAAAGCAAGCGAGCCGGTTAATTTTGAATGCAGGTAGATATGCATGCGCCGAGCCTTTACTTAAAAAAATTAATGTTTTAAATATTTATAAACTAAACATCTATCAAAATCTGTTATGTTTAAAATTCATAACAACATGCTTCCAACATATTTTCATCCTCATTTTACCTTAATTAATCATAAATACTCTACAAGACGCTCCATTGGCAACTTTCTCATCCCTACAACATCCCTTAGAAAAACAGACTTCTCATTTACATGTCAAGGACCAAGTTTGTGGAACTAATTCCTTAATAGAGACATGAAAAACATGACTTCAATTGAACTATTTAAAAGAGCAGTTAAACGATATTTATTAGATTTAAATAATAAAAACATTCTTTTGTATTTTTAAAAACATTTATATATCGATTTATTAACACGTATATATGCATCTTATAACTTATATATTTTATGAGCTGTAATATGTTATAGTATGTACAAAACTTGTAATATGTATAAAACTTATATAACGTATATTTTAGGAACTTAATACGTAAATCTTATTTGATATTTTCACGAACTTAGGAGCAGGGTGATAAGACGCGTTGTCTTCTACTTGTTCCTGTCAGAATATAAAGATTTAACTTTTAATTTTTACAAAAAATATTGTAAAATGATTGTTTATTGACGAAAAAATATATATATATATAAAAAAAAAAAATTATTAGCATACAAATTACTTTTATATATATACTATATTATTTATATATATAGTATATATACGAACTATTATCATACAAATTATTTTTTTAACTTATTGCCTGCCCAAACTGAAACCCTTAGTAGATGTATGTACGCATCCTGCATGTTCTACCTATTTAGTCAGTCGATGTATGTACACTTGTTTTACATAAAATTTTATAAACAATTTAACTTTTTATTGACAAAAATCATAGATATAACGCATTGACAACAATCATAGACATAACGCATAAAACTAGAGCTAAAAACTTTAAAATATAACATTTGCGCAAACACATTTGCGCTCGAGAGAAATCGATCCTGTGTCGCCAGGCGACAAGGCAAAATTATATTTACCACAAGACTAGTAACTATTTACTCACACCTATGTAAATTATAAATATATACTTAGTTTTTTAAGCTACGCAATTATTAAAAACAGTAATATATTTTCGGGTCATCAATTTACACAAAACTTCAAACAAAAAGGTTTTTGATTCTATCATCTACCAAACAAAGCTTACTTTTAAAAAACAAGTTTTATAAAGTATGAGACCTTTATAAAACATTATAGCAAATTCAAGATATGTATAGAAAATATAACGTAGAATCGATGTGATGGTTTTTGTAATTTTTTTAAAATTATTAAAAATATATTTAATTAGCGTGGTGGAGAGGAGGCTATAGCTCCCCCCCCCCCAGCCACACTTGTCTGCGGCCATGCAATTATATTTTACATATAATTTTATACTAACATACGTACATTTTACACTAGGACAAGGACAGCCTCGTTTCAAGGAGCGTTTTAATACTACGTTTGTTTTAAAAAACATTAACTTACGTATTTTGATTTTTCTGGTTTAACGTCAGACATAGAATTAAATCCACCTGCAACTAGCATCTAAATAAACAGGTTTTTGTAAAAGTAGAGAGTAAAAAAAAGGATTTTATATATAAAGACAATTAAATTTTTCAGAATTTACCACTAAACCAATCCAAACTCCTGCACAATATTTGGTGGTCCATGGCGTTTCGACATAACCAATAGGTATTTGGTATACTTTATCTGTATCTTGATTAACTTGTCTGAACTTGAATGTTATAGCAATCCCAATCGAAGTGGCAACAATTGCAAGTATTATTTGTAACACACCAATAATTTTAATAATACGCACAGTTGTAATGAAACCACAATAAATCATGATCGACTAGACCTTTTATTTTAATTAAGAACATGATTATGATTTAACATTTTTAAAATTTCTTTTTTAAGTTAAAATCATATTTTTGCTTTTTTACTTTGAAAATGGTTTACAGTAGTAACAAGTTTGTTTTGAAATGTTTTTACTTTGCCGCAAATATATATTTTTTCGTTATCTTCTTTTAAAACTTTGTTAACTTTGAGCAATCGTTGCTTTAAAACTATTTAAAATTTTATTTTCTCCAACGCAGAGCGTTTTATAATAATTCTTTGATAACGAATTCGTATCTAAATTATTCTATTTGCATAATTAATTACTTGCATTAGTTGCATAATTAATTTAAACATTTAATACAGTTTAATGAAAGTTTAATTGAAGATGCATTGCTATTAGATAACATAAAAATAAATACTATAATTTAATTATAATAAATTAGTTTATTACTAAGATTTTTAACTGCTAAAATTAACAGAGACAAACATAAAAAGCTTTTCGATTCTTTTAAGATTAGTTAAAAAATATTCAAAGCAGTTGTATAAATAATTTAGTATTGATTACTATTTTGTACGTTTTACTCAGTGCTTCCGTTCAGAATAGAAATTTATATATTAAGTTATAAAATTCCAAAAGTTTTACAAAAAATTATTTGAAAAATTTTCCAATTTGTTTTTTTAATCATGCATTTATTCTTAAAATCATGCAAAAAATCTTTGATTTTTGTAGGAAACACAACGAAAAACATTCTTGCCAATTAAAATACTCTAAAACTTAAACGACAAATAAAAGAGAGATAAAATATGCAGAATAAATAAATAAATAACGCCCATTTAATAAAAATAATAACTCTTAAATAAGCATGACGACTTATCTATTTTAAGTACTTATCTACGTAAGAATTTTTCTGAACAAATGAATTCTCGCGTGAGCATATTAAAAATCGTAGCGCTAAACTCAACATGAGATGTTACGAAAGAGAACAAGAAACAGTTTAAGACAATATAAACTGTTTATGTAGATGTAATATTTCGTCGAAATCTAAATAGTTATATAAAAAAAAAAATATGTAAAAAGATATGTAAGCAAAATATTGTTCTCTTTCCCATAACAAAAGAGAAAAATTTATAGTTGCGAAGTCATAAATTGGCATTCCACAGAAACTGGGGAAACATGATTTTAAAAATCTTTTTTGATTTTTTATGTTTGTGGATTAATAAAATATATACCTTCTTTATATATTTCTCTAATACTTTTATAAATATAAATTCAAACTGTAGCTATGAAACAACGTCAAAATTTCTTTGCAAATTTCTCATTTTCAAAAATTTAAAGAAAAATGATTTTATACATCTTTTTTTTATTTTAGTAAAATAGACAAAGATATGTTTGTGGTTACTATGGCTATGGCATTACTAAGATAAACGATGTTGTTAATTTAGATTTTATTTATTTTTTGTGGTCAAAACTTTTTTCCAATGAGCAAATCCAGGTTTCGCATTTTTAATAAAAATCCTGACCCGAATTTAATAAGTGCTTTAATATCGAATTCATTTTTAAGAGTGATAAGTTATTACAAAATTTGCTTTTAATAAATAATTATTATGTATATTATATTAAAAATAATTATTTAATATAATATACATAATAATTATTTATCTATCGCAAATTATTCTAAGAAAATGAGTATAAACGGTTTAAATAGTATCGACCTTTTTTTGTTGTATTTATCAAGGTGTTCCGAAAAGCCCTTGCGAGCATTTAACAACGCCTCCTTTCTTACCAATGTGGCTTATTGGGCGGGAGCCGGCGTCAAATCTCGGACCACTTAGTTCTGAGCCAAACTCTAACTATTGCGTCACGGCTGCAATAGTATTTGTATAATAATAATAATAATAATAATAATTGGAGTTTGCATTTCTAAATGGAAACTATAGTTCATCAAAAAAAGAGGACATAGTTAAAACTATGCTTAAAAATTTATTCCTTTATTTTAAAATAAGTAATTTAATTGTGGTTTACCACCTTACTGCTCTCAATATTTTTGAACTAATACATTGCTATTTGTGTTTAAACTACAAAAAGGAATAATTCTAAAATTTATCTTTTTTTTAAATTTCTCACTACCTATAAATCATAAATGTTAAACTAGACAAAATTACTATATTCCATTACCTTTAATTTAAAGGTCTGACTTCTCTGTTACATGTCGGTGACCGCGCTTGTGGAACTTGATAAAAAAAATCAAAAACATAAGATTAATCAATATATTTAAAAGGTCTATTAAATAAAGACTTGATAACAAGACATGCTGTCTTCTACTTACCCCAGTCAGATTGTAAAAGTATATACAAATAATAACTGTTAAGATAAAGTTGTAAAGTATGTGCATGTTGACGAAAAAAAAACAAAAAACAAAAAACAAACAATTAAGGCACGTACATTTAGTACACTGTACATTTACGTACACACTGTACATAAAGATACTTCCTGTTTTTAATGTTTGCAATTTTAGCCGGATAGGAGTATTATTCGGCGAATATTTTTTCTTATGACCAGATTTATTACATCCCCTGCTTATCTGCTTTCCACTTGGAATGCAAATTGCTGTGAAATCATAGCTATCATTAACTTTGAAAAGCTTCCAAATAAAACTCGCCATTTAAAAGTTTAATAATATTTTGTCATAATAAAATATATTGATTTGAATTGCATTATCCAGCCGGATATCGGTCGATATATACCCGGATAATTTTAACATATTCAGGTATTCGATATCCGGTCGGATGTTAAAAAAAAGTTACCCGGGACACCCCTATTCAATACCGAATCACCGATACCTAAATAATATTTATAATTTGTTATCTTTTGTTAGTGCATAGTTACATTTCTGAATAACTAAAAGGTAAAGTTGTTATTTTTTTCAAAATTATTATTCATTTTAAAGAAAATTTGAAACAACTTTCTTAAATTTCCAAACTTTCCAAATAAAGAAAAATGCTCGTGGCTATTCAACGGAATATTTGAAGATGGGTTTCATTAAAAGCATTATAAATAAAAATAATTCAATTTGCCAAGAAAACCAAGTAGATTGCGAGAACATCTGTCAACAAAACACCCAAATGACGAAGACAAGCCGATTGAATGTTTTCAAGAGTTAAATAAAAAATCAGGTTTTAGTGCTGTTAATCACCTGTAAACCGCCAAAATATTTCTGAAAGAGGATACCTTTGCAAACTTCTTACAAAAATAGAAGCAAATATTAAATATTTGCAGTATTTTTCTTAAGAATCTCAATAGTAAATCAGTTAGTTAATTTTATTTAAATACAATTGAATTCATATTTCTATTTATTTCAAATATTTTAAAAAATATTTGAAATAAATATTTTTTTAAATATTTGAAAAAAAATATTTTATAAAAATTTTCAATATATATATATATATATATATATATATATATATATATATATATATATATATATATATATATATATATATATATATATATATATATATATATATATATATATATCAATAATAAAAGTAGTTTCTCGGTAGAGAGTGCTCAATACAAAAGTAGAGCAAATATGTATTAAATTAATAATAAAATAAATACAATTAGATTTGAAACATAACTCGAAGTTTCACGCTTTATGCCTATATATATATATATATATATATATATATATATATATATATATATATATATATATATATATATATATATATATATATATGTATGTATGTATATATTTCCCGTATATATACATACACGACTACTTTAACATAACAGTAGGCAGTTATGATGGAGCAAAGCATAAGGGATTTGACTGTATATTTTAGTTTTATTAAAAAAAACAATCAATATTAACGAGTTAGGTCTTTGTAACAATGATCAGTGCCGGTCAAGGGGGGTTAGGGCTAAAGCCCCAGGCCCCACTAAATTAGGGGCCCCCAAAAATTTTAGCGAACCTTTTTTTTTTTTTCTTCAGTCATTTTTAGGCTTTGGCCCATAAAGAAGGGTTCCAAAAGCAAAAATAGCCCCGGGCCCTTAAGAAGTCTTAATTCGCCACTGACGATGATGGTTTAATATTATTATGTAAAATACTTTGTCAACAGCTTCATAAAATAAAAAAAAATATGAAATTTATTAAAATATATGACTTTCAAAAAGAAACAAGCATAACTTTAAAAATTGTAAAACTTCTTGATATCATTCATGAAATATTTAAAAAACTTATATGAATGTCTTTCAAAAAACCGTATGATAAACTATCGTATATTAACTCTAACTACCTAACCCAAATCCCAAAACAAATTAATTATTTTATATTGAATTGGTCCATCCTTACAACAGTGTAAGCGTGTAATAATATTTCCAAAAGATATATAATAAAACTACAAGAAAAACATGACTTACTTATTACATGCAAAATATGCAAATTCATCACAATAACTTTTTCGGAAAATATAATTTCTTAAAAAATTAACCGTTCAACTGAAAATGCTAAATGTTTACCAAATAAACATATTGTCACGATCATTTCACTTTCACCAAAATCATTTTAGAGGTGTTTTGATTAAATGGTAAAAATGTTTATACCGCGTTCTATTATACGAAAAATCTTAAACTAATCAAAAAATGGTTTATTTTTATTTGTTTCCCTCCCCCAATATCCGTTTTTTGACGTTTCAAAACATGAAAAAATGACTTAAGCGACTCCGAACTGATGATACATTGTCTTAAAAGTTTTAAGTACAAAATTAATGAAAATACAATACTAAATATTTTAAAACCATCATGTTTTAAAATTCCACACAATTATAAGAGTAAAAATTATGTTCAATCAAAGCTGTATATGATTTCACCAAGTTCTCAATAAATTCTGGAGGACATTATGTCTTGATCAGTTTGAAAACTGAAACTCTTAAATTATCAGGGGAAGACGGAGCAAGATGGCAAACGTTTCAAAAATCATAGCAGTTTTTGCAAAACTGTTAAATTTCACCATAAAAAAAAATAATTATACTCTATCTCTAATACATTTTATGTACCCATATACATTTATTTATATAAGATAAATAAAAAAGATAAATAATACTACCTGATTTCTAAATCTATATATATTATTGTTACTGGCATGGAATGAAATGTCTGACAATTTCATTA